GGACTGAAATAACTTTTTACAAAAATGTAAATGCTTGTTTGGTGTTTAAATTTCAGCGTAACAATTTTAACAATTATTCAATAGGATATAATATGTAGAAATTAAATCGTTGCCATATTGATTCACCAGACCCACTCCAGAGCTTTGCGGCCCATAACCCCCTAAACAGATTACACTACATCAGGCCATCACATATCAGGTAGCCCAGATGCCACCAGTAAATCTGAATGGTGGCCACCGCTGTGTTACATTGTGACTGTGAGGGCTGAGGACAGTGCACCTGCCACACTGGCCTTGTGCAGCAGATGTTCCAGTCTAATTTGACACTTCTACTATGGCCTTTTTATTGCATCAATACCTAGCAGATTATATGGGCTTAATGGACAGGTGGGCACAGGATAGACAGTGCGGGAGGCTTCAGAATGCCTGAGTGGAAGCCGCAGGCGCTGTTTGTAACTCTGTGTGACAGAAGAACACACTGTTTTTAAGCATTCAGTGATCCTATGACTTAACATTTTTTAAATTGATTAGATACACAAATAATGTGCACTTCACACTGCTGCCATTTTCAAATACATTTTCTAAGTTCTCAGACTGATCTCACTCACCCCAAACATTCATCAGCAAAACACACATAAGTTCAGGTATCTACTACAAAATGCATTATACACTTTTTGACTTTGTAGTTCTACAAGTGGAGAACTGAAAAGCTGTATCTTCTGTTTTCTTCATTGGAACTGAACATAGAACCTAAGACGTTAGTTTCCACATTCAGCCACAGTGGTTGTTGATTCACAGCGTGCTTAACATTCGCTGTCCATAACACGCTCTAAATTTTACTGCAGTGCAGCTGTCGATCATGGAGCAATTATTGATTGGTTTCATGGCAGGAGAATGCCCTTGCTCCTCACCAGGGACTAAAATGAAACATGAAACACATGTTCAGTCACTCAAACTGAACAGACCTTCCATTAGTAAGACTGGCGTTTCATGTGCATTAGTATCATATGGGCTTAATGGGCAGGTGAACACCAGGCGCAGCACCTGGGAGTCTGGGTAACGAATTTTCACACGCACTCCCACACTCAGTCTTTATGCACACCAGGTCTCCACAGAGTGTAATGGGATTATGAACAGATGTCGAGGACTTTGCTTTGATTTCTTTTTTAGAAAAATGATACAGAGAAAAAAATACATTCTTTGCTTTTTATGTAAATATGGTAGGGCCCATTTATTTATTTATTTATTTTACATTTGGCCTGTGGTATTTTGAGTTTCACAGATTTTAGAGGTTTTTTTTTTTTTTTTTTTTTAACACTTTCCAGGCACTTT